CGCCTGGCGCCAGACTCGCTGCTATCTGCTACTCTGACTGTCTGATCTGGCCTCCCTGGCTCAGCTGAAACACTCCAGCTCTGGAAATCACCACGGATTCAGACTGCTGGATAATCCTCCCGGGCAGCACGTAGAACATTTCACAGAAAAGAGAGAAAGAAACCCTCTCCCCCCCCCCCCCCCCCCCCTCCCCCTCTCCCTCTCCCTCTCCCTCTCCCTCTCTCTCGTTTTTGGTGAACGGGGGCATATTGATTTTGGAGTATTTTTTAATTTAAAACTCCGTCCCCATCGAAGCAGTCCCAGAGTTTCGCGCAGCTCCTAGAAACTTAGAAACTTTCTTGAGTTCTTGGGTGGTTGGGTTATGAAATGGATCAGCTGGTGGCAGGCAGGTCGATAGGACTTTTCCCCTTTTTTCTTTATGTTTGGGTGTGTGGATAGGGGAGGAGATGAGTGTGTGGTTATGGGAGGGTTGGGAGTGAAGGGGGGATTTTCTTTCTTTCTCTCTTTTCTGTGAAATGTTCTACGTGCTGCCCGGGAGGATTATCCAGCAGTCTGAATCCGTGGTGATTTCCAGAGCTGGAGTGTTTCAGCTGAGCCAGGGAGGCCGGATCAGACAGTCAGAGTAGCAGATAGCAGCGAGTCTGGCGCCAGGCGGCCTCTTTTGTTTATCTGACAGCAAAATATCAAGGCAATCACCGCCTCCCGGCCCTGCCTCCTACCCCCAGAGCTAAGACAAACAGTTTTGCTAAAAGAATGCCACTGTTATCATAAGTTTCTATCTCTTTTTCTCATGGCTCTGCCTTATTTTCTCTTTACTTTTTTAATTCCAGAGTCTCCCCCTCCTCCCTACTCCAGATACCCAATGGATTTTCTCAAACCAACTGGTAAGTAGATGATTTTAAAGTATATCTAGTGTCTTTAGAAATAGAATGGTTAAGCCGTGTGTGTAGTAAGGGCAGCAGGGAGTCGTTATGCTTATTGAATATAGAATGTGCTCCTCATTTTTGGAGGTTTGGGTTTTTCCCAGCAACTTTGTTAGGGCTAAGGGGCTTTTTTTTTTCTGGCTTATACTACAAATGCTTTAAAATATTTTGTTTCTTTGAAGTGTTTTTGCACTCCATGACCTACAGTTTTAAAATGCATAGGCTGCGATATGCACCAGAAAGTGTCTAAGGAGTCAAGAGATAACAGGTTTTTAGAAGAATTCAAAAATTTCTAAAATGCTCTAAAGAGCAAGGGGGGTGGGGCGGGGAATTTCACAAACTCCATCAATTTTCATTTTGATGGATAAAGGTTGGTAACCAAGTGGCCAGAGAGAATGTTATTTTCTAAGGCTGCAAAAGGGGATTTGCAATACAGTTGAGGATAACAGCAACAGCAACAAAATCCTTGCCCTTTTCCCTGTGTTACTTCCTATCCCTAGTCACCTGTAAGTCAGCCTTCTCCCATGTTTCCTTAAGAATTCTTAGTGGGGGCCGTAAAAGTTTCTCAGCCTTGCTCTGCATGCCTGTTGCTTTATAACTGAGTGGCAAGATGCCAGGGCAGAAGCCCATTTGAGGCTGGCACCGGCTGTGTTGCGGTTGTCTGCATAAACTTCTGGTTGGCAGCAGACTTGGCCCTGTGTTGATAAGTAGGACTGGCATTGTAGAAGGAGAGAAGTGCAGGGGAAATAAGAATGGTGGATAACATCAGGGAGGAGTCCCAGTTTCATGGAGCCACTTCATATCTCTCTGAAGATTAATTGGCTAAAAGTATTGATTGTAGCACAATTGTCTTTGTGCCTGTGTCCCAGTGTTGGAATTTTTCAAGCTTTTACTTGACCAAACGTGTGTGAGAAAGAGAAAGAGGCATGTTAGGCCTGAAGAGGGGCAGAGGCAGTAGAGGTGGGTAAGCAAGCGCTCCCCCCCCCCCCCAATTCTCCCAAGTGTCCTCTGAGCATCTTTTAACCTTCTGGAATTAAAACAGCTCCAGCACATCATGCCTTTTGTCTGATGGAACTTCTCCTAATTAAAAGTTTTGCTGAGGCGGAGTCATGAATGAAAATACTTTAATGAACAGTGTTCCTGAAGCCCAGATTCCACAACATGGGCCTCCTCCCCATCTCCCTCAAGTTAGAGAGGCATTCCTCCCCTCTAATAAATGGCCTACAAAGCATGTGATATTTTGCTTTCGATTTACAAAATACCAGATAAATGGTCATTAATGAGGAGATAACTTAGAGCACTGTATTTTTAGAGTGTTAACTGGAATTTATCAGTCTCTGACTTGCCAAAGAAAGTTACCTGCTGGTATATAAGTGCTCAAGAAAAAGGGGCAGTGTGATATAATGGGGAAAGTTCTGAATTTTCTGTTAACAAACTAAGCTTCTCATACTTGATATGTGACCTTGTGCTAGTTACTTCACCCTCTGAGCCTCAGTTTCCTCATCTGTCAAAAGAGGACTAGATCACTAGATCAGTGATTCTTTATCTGGAGGCCAATGAACTTGTTTTCAAAAATCATTCTAAGTGTACTTCAATAGAATTGGAGTTGGTTTCCCTTGTTAGCTTATGTATTTTATGCCTTTAAAAGCATTATTCTGAGGAGGAATTTCTAAGCTTCCAAAGACTGCCAAAGGGGTCCTTGAAACAAAAACAAATAAGAATCCTCCTGATAGGTGCTGTCTCTAAGATTCCTTCTAGCTCAGATTATTATTTTCTTATTAGTATTGGGTTTATGGATACTTTGCTAATTTATCCCACTCTTGCTTTTTCTTGGGGTTATGAGGTCTGCTATTTTTTAATTAATAAAATTTAGCATCACCCCTTGATGTTACTGTGTCTCCCTCCCATTTTGTAAAAGGACAAACTAACATCTTGAAGCTTCTAAGGAAGGCAGGCCATCTGCCAGCATAAACCTTTAGGAAAGGGGAGTGATTGCCTGCCTGTATGTAGGCATCCTGCAAAGAGGCTAGGATAAATCTGCTAACAGAATTTAAGCATCCAATTTGCTATGCCAGTACCTCATTTTCAGTTAGTGTAGTGATACATTTCTTCATTAGCAAGTGTTGACATTAGGTAGCAAAATGTGTGTAAACAGACAAGCCACAAGAACATGAATGGGCTACTTCGAAAGGGGGAGAAGGTTTTCCAGATCAGCCAATAGGAAATAATCAACCCTGCCAATCAGAAACTCAAGAACAACTGGTTACTCACCCAAAAAGTTGTGTTCAGAAAAAGGGGAAAAAGTGTGTGTGTGTGTGTGTGTGTGTGTGTGTGTGTGTGTGTGTGTGAGAGAGAGAGAGAGCTAGAGAGGGCACTTGTTCCTTAAGAACTTGGGGGCAGTGACAGTGAGGAGAGGAAGCCCCAGATGAAAGGGTCTGTCATTATAAATGGCCATTAAAGAGGCATGCAGGTCTGGGACTGCACTGACCTTTTTCTGACAGCTCTTGGGGAGTGAGTGAAGGGACACAGACAGAAGGGGAGGGGAATTGGCCTGCTCTGCGCTGTCCCCGAGTTTCATCAACACCTTGTATATTTCTGAGTCTCTTTGACCTGGGAATTTCATTCTCCCACATTCTTAAGTTTCTAAGCCCTAGGTTGAATTTGTTTGTCTTAGGTTACTAGGTGAGAACGAGGAACATGGTTTTACAATGGAAAACTGTTAAAATCATAACCAGTTTAACAACTAAGAGAGTCCCTACCCTGGAGACTCAGGCTTGGGAAGAGGATGTTGGAGGTGGGGGGAGGGTTGGGGCCCTGGGTAAGGCAGGCAGACAGGCAGACAGGCATTTCTTTGGAAGAACTATAGGCATTAAGGCTGGGGAAAGCCATTTTATTGCTATAGTTAAAAAATAATCAACTGCAGTTCACAAATGCTAGAGCACGGGGCAGCTTCTGTCGGTGCCTAGTTTTCTGGTCTGTGTTACAGCATCATCACTGGCCCATGGTCACCATTAGCTTTTAGATAGCACTTTAAAGTTTACACCACGTCTGTTATCTCAGCTAATCCTCACCACAACCCTGTGAGGCAAGGTGTCGATGAAGAAACTGAGGCTGAAAGAGAGGTTAAGTGATTTACCTAAGGTCACACAGCTAGGTAAGCATCTGAAGCAGGATTTGGACATAGGTGGCTGCCTGTTTGTCGTGTAAGGAATGTTGCCCCATCCATCTACAGAGAACTGAGTTAATAGGCTCCTTCAGCTGCTAAGCATGACTAAGTTTATGAGATGGGACTAAGAGTCCCAGGTGTGTGTCCTGTATCTAGTAGAAGTCAAGTTGTCTCTTGCCTTTTACTTCACCTCTAACAGAATTCTGAAGGACTGAAAGGACGGGATTGGGGGTAGAAGTAGAGGCATGTGAACTGGGAAGTATTGATGGGGTGAGGTTTTTGTTTCAGTGGAGACATTAGCGCCCTTTCTTTTGCCCTCATTGCTAATCCCTGGTTTGTAGGGAAATGAGCTTCAAATTTGTGGCAGAGGAGGAAGGAAAGAGTATTGAGCGGGTGGACTTAGTACTTAGTCCCAGCTCTGTTGTTAACTAACTGTGTGTCCTTGGTCTTTCCTGGCCTCAGTTTTCTTGTCTGTAAAATGAGAGAGTTGGGAGAGGCTAAGTCTCATGGATAGAGATCCAGGCTTAGATAGGGGGTTCAGGTCCTCCTGATACTTAGTGGCTGTGTGACTGTGTAAGCAAGTAATCACTTAACCTCTCTGTTTTAGGGAAGTCTCTAAGAGTAAGTTTGGGAAGAGTTGTTAATCTGCCCTGGTAGAATATGTTGTCAGGGTTCTCCCCAGGCACTGCCCCTCCCCCTCAAAGTGCAACTGATGATTGGCTAAGGCTACCTTCAATTCTAATGCTGTGGGGCATCCTCTCTGATCAGAAGAATGCTATCACAGAGGAGGCAGGGAAGAGCTCACATGATACATCACTTCCCTCTCTGGATTGGCCTGGCTAGCTAGTTTGGGTCCATGCTGCATAGACCTGTAGGCAGCTTGAGGATTTCTGTCCCCAACAGTACTTTAGACTTTCCCTTCAGGCTTTCCAAAAAATTTTGTGAGAGAAACTCTGCTGACCTCTGCTTCTATCATTAGGATTTTGAAAGTCTATTGAAAAGACATCATTGTCTACCTTGATACCCATTGGAGGGAGGGAGCCTAGTTAGTGGACTCCTTTAACTCAAATCTGTTTTCGTTTGTGACCTGTTAGCTTCCAGAGAAAGACCTCTGACCTGAGAGGTCAGGGCATTTCCAAGGATCTATTGAGGCACGTGGAAGGAAATGACTTCTGTTTTCCTCACAGCCTCTTGTACACATTAGTTGCTTGATAAATATTGATTGTTTTGAAGGTAGGAGTGACATAGACCTTCATTGTGCTTTGGGGGCCATGGTCCTGAGCTGAGTAATAGGCAAGGTCAAGTCAGTGCTTTCCTTTGAAGACTTGCCTTTGAAGACCTCAGGGTATGAATTCCATTTTGAATGGGTTTTAGAGGCAGCTCCTCCAGGCACCCTCAAACCTTCTTCCTATAGCTTTGTGGTAGAATGACTGATGGGGTCAGAATCCTCCAAGGTGGGCAAATCACTTAACTTCCTTAATTTCCCTGGGGCTTATTTTACTTATCTGTAAAATGGAGAGAGGTAGGGGAAGACTTTAGATGGCTCAGTAGATAGATGCTAGGCCTGGAGTTGGGAAGACTGGGTTCAAATCTGGCCTCAGATACTCATTAGTTGTGTGATTCTGGGCAAGTCACTTAACTTCTGTTTGCCTTAATCCACTGGCAAGCACTCCAGTGTCTTTATCAAGAAAACTCATACTGGGTCACAAAATCGATGGACGTGACTGAACAATTGAACGACAAGGAGAAGACTAGATATAGATAGCCTCTGAGTACCTTGCAGCTCTGGGTCTGTGATCCTCTCATATATGAGGAAGGAGTTTGGTTTGATTAGCCAGAGGAAGAGAGCCATGGAGTGGGAAGTCTGGAGAGCTGAGCTGTAGTCCTGACTCACTGGGTGGCCCTTTGGACTAGTCACTGAGGCCTCAGTTTACTTCAGGGTGTGTGTCAAACCAGGTATACTTGGCTATTTTCACAGGGTGGTAGGGAGAACTAATTAACGTTTGTAAATCTCTTCCTGAGATCAAAGGTGCTGCCTAAGTGCAAAATACTATTTCATAAAAACCC